GTAAACAGAGAGTGTGAGGATTTGTATACTGTTCTTGGTAATTGGTTAGACGAGAGTGAGAAAATACTGTAATATGTGGGCTTCTTGGTTTGATACATGGTATATTCCATTGTAATCTTGAATGTTTTGATATTGATAATGGATTTAGAGTGTTAACCACATACGTGGCTGCTCAACATGGTGAGTAGGTCTTTTGACTAACATCGAGCCTCGATCAGCAAATCGAGGCCTATGTAAACACAGTATCTTTAACACATATTCGCTCACTCATCGTAAGTATTTAAGGTTTCATTGAGCGTCTGTCTCTCAGGATATAACGGATGAACTTATGGTAGTTGAGCATTGTACTTCTGCATCGGCGAACTGGATTTGTACTAGAATTATAACACCAAGACTTCGACAGGTAGACAAAATCGTGTAAAAGATAAAAAGGAAGAAACTATGTAAAATACAGAAGAAATTTGTATTTCTTAATTAAAGAAAATTACAACCCAGGAGTTACAGCCATTATGCATAATTAATCCGACTGTCATCGTTCCATTAACACAGACATAACCTATGAGTTTCAGTTAGAGAATTCAGAAGGTTATACAAAAATTATAGAAAATAAAGGCAATATTGACCCTCTTAAGGAGTTAATATTCGCTCCATTCGATCTGACATTTGTGTACGTAGGTCACGTTCACATACAAGTTTAAGATTCGAAGTTCAATTTCAGTCCATGATTTGCACTCCTTGCTCACATATGTAGAGGAAGCCTCTATGTTACATATCATTACACATTTCTAAAGTGTAATCATATACAAAGTAGTCATGGCCTTCATCATTTTTCTACGTGGGACAACTTGAATTAGTTTCCCTCCAACACAACAAAACTGCTTCCAATTTATCACTTTGAGCTTCAATTGAACATTCAACCAATTATCATTTTTGGCAAGTAGATATATGATTTTGATGCTCTCATGGAGAAGAACACGATCAACTTTGATCTTTCAAAATGAACGAATGGATCCCACTCAAAAATATGTTAAAAGCAGCCTATTAAGTCCATTTTTCCAACAACCCCCACATGAATGAAATTGGGAACAACATAGAAACGGGAGACACATATTTGGTGATATAGTTCAATGGTTGAAACTTGCTTAAAATAGATAGATATTACCATTTGAACCTTTCATTATGAAGGTATATTTACTTTACTAATTGAACAGTGGACATGATGTCTTTGAACTATTTTGTCATTTACGTAAATGATGATATACTCCACACATGATTCTTTCTAATATAATTCAGTTCTCATTATTATGTTCATTTATGGTCATGAACATAAGCCTAGTTCTATGAGAATTTATAAGAATTGAGCCCATACAATTTTCTTAGAAGTGGCGCCACTTCTATTTCACATAGGTGATTTCTTATTCCAAGTAACTCGCATTGTTTCGCTCGATTTTTTATGTATAATAATCATTAAAAGCCTATTGTTTATCCTTCATTTTTACAGGCATCACTATTACATCATAAGAATAGACAGGAGATAATATACTCTACAATAATTCAATTAGGTCTTTATAATTAGATTGTCCATTTGAATTTAGATCTTAGGATCTCCAATCAACTAGGTTGGATTTTCTTCATATTAACCATACGTTCAAGGGCTTAAGTATCATTCATTTCTATGACTTTTCAACTAACTCTTTATTTAACCCTTTAGTTAGTGGATCCAATCTGTTATCCTTTCACCTTACATGGTCAATAGAGATAACTCTAGTTGAAAGTAGTTGCCCCATGGTATTACGTCAATGACATATATGTTTTAAACTTACCATTATACATTCTACTCTGTACCCTACCAATCAGAGGTTGACTATCATAATATATGCAAATTGTTGGTATAGGTTTTGACCATTTTGGTATATCCTCTAAGAAATTCCATAGTCACTCGGCCTCTTCATCATATTTGTCAAGAGATATAAACTCAAATTCCATGATAGATCTGGCTATAACTATTTGTTTAAAGGATTTCCAGGACATAGCTGCACCTCCCAATATGAACACAAATTCACTAGTAGACTTTTAGTCTTTTATATCAGATATCCAATTGGTATCATTACACCCTTCAATGACTTTTGGATATCTGTTATAGTGTACTCCTTAGGTAAGAGTATATCTTAAGTACATTAGTACTTTTACTATACATTTCAAGTGGTCAGCTCTTGAATTAATCATGTATCTACTCCATTTACTAATTGTGTAAGTTATGTCTAGTCTTGTACAACTCATCAAGTGCATCAGACTTTCAATGATCCTAGAATATTTTATTTGAGAGACATTTTCTCCTTTGTTTCTAAATAGATGCTGACTTATATCTATTGGTGTTCTAGCCACACCAGAATCATCTTCGTTAAATTTTTCCAAAATTTTGACTACATAATGTGACTGACTTAGAACAAATCAATATGATCTTGAGATTTTAACTCTAAGTATTACATCAGCTAAACCTATATCTTTCATTTCAAATCTTGAAATCAACATATTTTTAATGGATTTAATTATATTATTATTACTACCAACAATAAGCATTTATCTATGTTAAGACATAAAATGACATAAACCATTTTTAGTGTTTTTGACGGAAACACATTTTGTTACACTCGTTGATCTTAAATTCACATTACATCATAACATTATCAAACTTTTCATACTGCTGTTTGGGTGCTTATCTCAAGTCATACAATGATTTCGCCAATTTACAAATTTTATTTTCTTACACTAGTGATGAAAGCCCATCGGGGTAACAATATTTAGGTCACAATCAAGCATAATGGTGATATAGAACTAGTTCACAACCGTCAAAATCCTACAAAATAATCAGATCGCAAGAAAATCAGATGTCAAGTCAAACTGACAAAATAAATGGAGAAAAATTGATCACAATGAGGAGGGAAAAAAAAAAAGCAAGGCACAATTGGAAGAAATGAAAATGTTTGGCAATTAAATTAGCACTATGAAAATCATAGTTGATGAGTGATTTACACTCATTATATTATGCCATTAATTTCATAATTTTGCTATTTTGGAGAGCATTTTAGAAGTGCTAATAAGTGATTTTGGTGTTGTTTTGTAGATTGATGTAAGTGGAGAAAACAAGAGCTAAAAGAGGTCAAAGAAAGGAAATAGGCAAAAGCTAGCGAAATTGGATGAAATGACCAAAACGTAAGAGATCCAAAGTTCGAGGATTAAAATGCAATTAATCAAAAGTCGTGTCAAAACTTGAAATGAAGATCCGAGAGTTCTAGAAGCCAATTGGACAAAGTAAGGTGTCAAAGGGATCAAATTTAGTCAAGATATGATCATAAATCATTTTCCAACCAAAAAGTTTTGCGTCAGAGTTTTCGTCTCACATTTAGACTCATTTTTGACATGGAAAAAGATCGAATTGGAGAATGATTCCTGAAGCAAAATTGTAGTCCTTCGAATTTTCTTCCCAACGCATCTTGAATCACTTCAATCGGATATCGAACGTAAAAGTTATAACAAAAATACTGAAAGCTGTCCAGTACAACCGAAGTAGTCATCAGCGCCTAGGCGCTATCCATCAGCGCCCAGGCGCCATAATGCTGAAATTTGGACAGAAAGTCAGCGCCTAGGCGCCCAAATCGCAGCGCCCAAGCGCCGCCGTGCGAGAGTAATTTTTTTAGGTTTTTACCATTCTTTTTTGGCCCAACTCATCTCCAAATCTTTCCCTAAACTTCAAGACATTATAAACACAGAAAGGAGACCTAAATGAGGGGGGGAGCTGCACACTAAAAATCCTTGGGATCAAGCCACGCGTTCTGGACATATTGGAGAGAAAAACAACAACAAGGGAGATTCAAGGGAGAAATTTAAGAAGATTAACACCAAGAATTGAAGATTGGAAGCACTCATTGGAAGAGGAAGGAGATCTTGGTGTAAGAATTCCATTTTTTCTTCCACATCTTTATTTCAAACTCGGTGATGTATTCTAAGACAATCTCCTATTTTTCTTCCATTATTATGAGTAGTTAAATTTCATGTTAGGGCGAACAATGTAATCTTTTGGAACCGTTTATTTCATGCAATTGAGATTCTAGTACTTTTTTATTTCATGTGTTGATTTTAATATTGTTCTTAATACATTTAATTACTTGATCACTAATTAGATGATTTGTGAAAATTGATTGCGTAGAGATGCGGATTATTTGTTTAGACCACATGTTAAAATCCGGTAAATTGATATAATGTGTAGAGATACCTATATTGATTGCTGCGGTCGAGTGTGAATTCTTAGAACCAATGTTTCGTTTAATTAAATTTAATTTGCATATAGATATGGAATTAAACTAATTAAGTATGCTCAATGAGAACTCGAGAGGGGTAAGTTGAATACAATAGAAGAATTCGACCGAACACTACCTTAGGTTTTATGAGTCTTGATTTATGAAGTAAAGGTGACCAATAGGTGAAGTTGTTCCGCCCTATCGTCCATTTATTGTTTGAATTCTCAATCACTTTTCATTGAATCCAATCACATTTTAAGTCTTTAGAGTAAAAATCACATTTAATCATTGTTTTTAATTTACATTTGTCAAATAGTAGTAAAAGAAAGATTAAATTAAGTGCTACAAAATAGTCCTCGTGGGATCGATAACCGGACTCTTAAGTCCACTATTACTTGTTACGGATCGTACACTTGCGAAACAAAATTTTACAACAAGTTTTTGGCGCCGTTGTCGGGGACTATTTCTTTTAGTCTTAATTTATTTTTTTAATTTTGGCTGTTATTTGATTTGTTTATTTTTCTTTTAATTACAGAAAATTGTGTTCGTTGTATGCTCCGTGCCCAAGGCGACGATCTTGAACCGTTTGATTCAGAGATAGAACGTACCTTCAGACGAAGACGCAAGGAACACAAACAAAAACAACAACATCAAATGGCTGACAATCAACAAATCCATATCCCTATTCAGCCGATTGGGCAAATGGCCGCAAGAGTGGTGGCACCACCGGAACAACAACATGAACGAAGGGAAATAAATGAAGGGGATTTGCCAGTATCAATGTTCCTGACACCTATAGCAGCACCCATGCGCTCCAGTATCGTGTATCCAGATTTTGGGGTGAATAACTTTCAGATCAGGCCAGATTGGATTAACTTAATGAGCAACACTCTCTAATTCTACGGGTTACAATAGATTTAATGAGCTGATGAGAAAATGTCCAAACCATGGAATCACTCAAGGAAATCAAGTGCAGTACTTCTACACTGGACTCACACCACTGTCAAAATCCCAAGTCGATGCCTCAGCTGGAGGATCAATTATAGGAAAATATGTGCAGCAAACCATGGAACTGTTTGAGTTGATTGCCACTACACATTCAATGTTCTCGTCGGAAAGAGTGGCGCCACCGAAGACAGGAGGAATGTATGAATTAGACAGCACAATATCTACCAATGCACAGATAGCAGCTTTAACAAAACAGGTAGAGTTACTTGTAAAATTGCAAACACATGGAGCAAATGCAATGATGGTCAGTTCAATATGTGAGAATTGTGAGAGAAGTCACCCTACAGAGAGATGCATGATGCTCACGTCTTTAGAGGAACAAGTAAACTTTATTCAAAATAGCTCCCGTAATTTCAACTCATATGGTAACAATTTCCAGCAAGAGAGAAGACCAAGTTTGGGGGAGATGTTTCAACAATATGTGCAGAAGACAGACAAGGTGTTCCAACAAATAGACACGAACTTTCAAAATCAACAGGCATCCATCAAGAAACTGGAGATACAAATTGGTCAGATAGCACAACAACTTGCAGAACGTCCACAAGGCACATTGCCAAGCAATACAATGATAAATCCTAAGGAACAGTCGATGGCAATTGAAGTAGTCCAGAATGATCCGCCCAGGGCCCCCGTAAAAGTTAAAGCATATGTACCTCCACTTCCGTTTTCCCAAAGACTTCAAAAGAAGTCGATGGAGCAAAATATTCATGTCATAAATACAAAGAGCGAGGTAAAATCACCAGAGATCACTACAGAGAGACCCAAAAGAAAAGATGACCAAGAAGTGATTGATGAAGCTACAAGGGTAGAAAAATCTGCACCAAATGCAACTGAAAATAGAGAAGGTACAGAAACATCAGCTGCCAAAGCACCAAGTCTAAACAAAGCTTACATGCCTCCCATTCCCTTTCCTCAAAAGCTCAAGAAGAACAAACAAGACACAAACTATGAAAAATTCCTCGATGTTCTCAAGAAGCTCCAGATCAATGTTCCGTTCATAGATGCGATACTACAAATTCCAAGCTATAAGAAATTTTTGAGAGAGATGTTGACAAAGAAAAGAAAGCTTCCAGAGTTTGAAACTGTGGCATTAACTGAGGAAAGTAGTGCAAGAGTCCAGAGAAAATTGCCTCCTAAATTGAAGGATCCAGGGAGTTTTACTTTACCAGTTTCAATTGGAAATTCCTATTCAACTAATGCATTGTGTGACACTGGTGCTAGTATCAATCTAATGTCGTATTCTACTTACAGGAAATTGGGACTAGGTGAAGTCAACTCAACATCAATAACGCTACAACTCGCTGATAGAACAATCACAAGGCCACGTGGCAAAGTTGAGAATATACTCGTCAAAGTAGGAAATTTAATATTTCCTGTGGATTTCATTGTATTGGACATACCAGAAGATCGAGACATTCCAATTATATTGGGTCGACCATTCTTAGCAACGGGACGGACCCTTATTGACATGGAGAAGGGAGAACTAATCTTGAGGGTGGAGGACAAGCAGGAGATATTCAATATTTACATCCAATATGAGAAACCTGAGAAACCTCCCAATTGCTGTAGAATTGATGAAGAAGAGCCACCTGATCAACGAAATTGTCAAAATAAAAAAACAAATTTTGGAGAACTTCTTGGTAGAGATAAGAATGGACAAATCAAAATTTGGAGAGCAAAAAAGGACTGCATCAATGAAAATTGCACAGAGTCCAATGATGGAATAACTTGGTTTGAGCCACCATGATAAACCAGCGGCACAAGTCAAGCTAATGACTTAAAAGAAGCGCTTCTTGGGAGGCAATCCAAGCTTTTATTTTGTTTTATTTATTTTGTTTTCAAAGTTCTAAGATAGTTTAATTTATAGTTTATTTAGGAATCATCACCCATACACCTTCTACCCATAGGTCTTTGAGTAATTAAGTTGGTTATTAGATGTTTGAGCTAAATAATCTTTATCCCATGAGTTTAATTTTTCAAATTTAATTTTTTAGGAACATGACGTCACGGAACACTCAAAACAACATGGACATGGAGAAAATGGGACAAATCTCAAGTTTGGGGGAAAATGTAGAAGAAGAGTCAATCAAATGCAACACCAAGACACCACAACATCATGGGCAATACTGATATTTCAGGAAAGTCTTCCTTCTTTTTCTTTAAATTTCAAATTGAGGACAATGTTTCAGTTAAGTTTGGGGGAGTGACATCATTTGCTTACATTGTTAAGTTTCTCGAATGCTTATGTGTGATTTGCTTGTTTTATGTGTTTGTGTTTTTATTCAAAAAAAAAAAAATCATTTCGTATTTTTGCATACTTGTGTGTGTTAGATAACCTTGCCGATATTGACATGTGTAATTAAAAACAAGCGTTGATTTATGAATTGTGGACGAGTTATTTGTTTGAGTTAGATTTTTGCTTATTCATGTGAAACGAAAATTATTTCTTGCACGTGAATTGATTGTAGCGTTGTGCATGAGTATGTTGATTCACGTTTATAGGTTGAAATAGAAAACTTAGATGCTAAACCCAAACAACCATTAAACATCACAATACCCTTAAACCAAACTTAGGACGTTTGGATGATTGCACTGTTGTACGGAAGTTTGGAGATAAATGTGGATTTCATGTGTGTTAATTTTTCTGTGGACTATCTGAGACTAATGCGATGAAAATTGGGTGAAAATCTTAAGTTAGAGGTTGATTTTCGAGGATAGGTGTTTAATAAGGGGCATTGCACTAATCACCGCATAAAAAAAAAAAGATCCCAATGAGGACAACTTTAATAATCTCATTGTGAATCGTCTCTTCGTAGCCTTATGACTCGAGTGATTAAGCCTATAAGGGTTTAAAACCTGGTGCCCTAAAGTCATCTGATTTGGGAGTCATCGGCCTAAAACTCGCTACATGGGTTATTTAGAAAGCTTAAGGGAGAGACATCCGCACAAAGAGTGATTAAATAATAAAAATATATATAAAAAAAAGAAAAAGAAAAAAATAGATATTAAATGCCTTGATTAAGCCCCAAACACTTGTTTTAGAGGATTAGACCTTTGATAAGGAGTAAGTAACTTGGTTGATTCCTAGATGTTGAAGCAGTCAAAAATAAGGAGAATCCTCATTTATTGACATGTGGAACTACAATCAGTAAAATCTAACCAAACTTGAGTGGTGTAAGAAATTAGTATTGAAAATTTAACCTTAGGTTACACCCTTGGAAAGAGAAAAGAAAATAAGTTTGGGGGTGTGTGAATCCCACGAGCAAAGTAAGGAAAAATTTGACTTCTAAGGTTGGGAATTGGGTCAACTTATTATTGTACAGCGTTGCACTTGACTCTCCACACACACACACACGTTTTGCATGGAATAAGTGAGAATTTAACTTTTGCATTATAGCTTTGAAGTGGTTGATGGAATCGAAGTTATGTTTTTAATTCTAAGACATGAAGGCAAGTTATCTAGCGAAATTTATTTTTTGTGATTTTGTTTGTCTTAGTTGTGCTGTGCTTGTATGTCCATTAATTATTTTTATGGGTTTTGATGTTTGCTCGAGGACAAGCAAAAGATTAAGTTTGGGGGTATTTGATGAGTGATTTACACTCATTATATTATGCCATTAATTTCATAATTTTGCTATTTTGGAGAGCATTTTAGAAGTGCTAACAAATGATTTTGGTGTTGTTTTGTAGATTGATGTAAGTGGAGAAAACAAGAGCTAAAAGAGGTCAAAGGAAGGAAATAGGCAAAAACTAGCGAAATTGGATGAAATGACCAAAACGTAAGAGATCCAAAGTTCGAGGATTAAAATGCAATTAATCAAAAGTCGTGTCGAGACTTGAAATGAAGATCCGAGAGTTCTAGAAGCCAATTGGACAAAGTAAGGTGTCAAAGGGATCAAATTTAGTCAAGATATGATCATAAATCATTTTCCAACCAAAAAGTTTTGCGTTGGAGTTTTTGTCTCACATTTAGACTCATTTTTGACATGGAAAACGATCGAATTGGAGAATGATTCCTGAAGCAAAATTGTAGTCCTTCGAATTTTCTTTCCAACGCATCTTGAATCACTTCAATCGGATATCGAACGGAAAAGTTATAACAAAAATACTAAAAGCTGTCCAGTGCAACCGAAGTAGTCATCAGCGCCTAGGCGCTATCCATCAGTGCCCAGGCGCCATAATGCTGAAATTTGGACAGAAAGTCAGCGCCTAGGCGCCCAAATCGCAGCGCCCAAGCGCCGCCGTGCGAGAGTAATTTTTTTAGGTTTTTACCATTCTTTTTCGGCCCAACTCATTTCCAAATCTTTCCCTAAACTCCAAGACATTATAAACACAGAAAGGAGACCTAAATGAGGGGGGGAGCTGCACACTAAAAATCCTTGGGATCAAGCCACGCGTTCTGGACATATTGGAGAGAAAAACAACAACAAGGGAGATTCCAGGGAGAAATTTAAGAAGATTAACACCAAGAATTGAAGATTGGAAGCACTCATTGGAAGAGGAAGGAAATCTTGGTGCAAGAATTCCATTTTTTCTTCCACATCTTTATTTCAAACTCGGTGATGTATTCTAAGACAATCTCCTATTTTTCTTCCATTATTATGAGTAGTTAAATTTCATGTTAGGGCAAACAATGTAATCTTTTGGTACCCTTTATTTCATGCAATTGAGATTCTAGTACTTTTTTATTTCATGTGTTGATTTTAATATTGTTCTTAATACATTTAATTACTTGATCACTAATTAGATGATTTGTGAACATTGATTGCGTAGAGATGCGGATTATTTGTTTAGACCACATGTTAAAATTCGGTAAATTGATATAATGTGTAGAGATACCTATATTGATTGCTGCGGTCGAGTGTGAATTCTTAGAACCAATGTTTCGTTTAATTAAATTTAATTTGCATAGAGATATGAAATTAAACTAATTAAGTAGGCTCAATGAGAACTCGAGAGGGGTAAGTTGAATACAATAGAAGAATTCGACCGAACACTACCTTAGGTTTTATGAGTCTTGATTTATGAAGTAAAGGTGACCAATAGGTGAAATTGTTCCGCCCTAACGTCCATTTATTGTTTGAATTCTCAATCACTTTTCCTTGAATCCAATCACATTTTAAGACTTTAGAGTAAAAATCACATTTAATCATTGTTTTTGATTTACATTTGTCAAATAGTAGTAAAAGAAAGATTAAATTAAGTGCTACAAAATAGTCCTCGTGGGATCGATAACCGGACTCTTAAGTCCACTATTACTTGTTATGGATCGTACACTTGCGAAACAAAATTTTACAACAATAATCAACAATAAAATTCGAATACAACATATCCACGGACTCAAAGTAAATAAACATTGTACTAAACAACAAAGAATAAAATCAAATTGATGTGCCCTCTTCAAACTAGATTTTCGATAGGAATCAAATTCCTTCGGGAATTTTTATCTGAACATCTTTATATACTTTGGGTCTTTATTTGTTATCCTGTGTTTTTCTAGTCTCTTGATCATCCTTCGAATGAGATTTTCAGTCTACACTAATGGTTAATACCATTTTCAATTTAGGAATGTAAGGAGTTAGGGTTCAACAAAATTTGAACTACAATAAAAGGTATATAAAAGAATGAAGTAAAACAGATTCAGCAAAAACTTCAGTGATAAAGGCTTGAAAATATATACCTTTCAACGAATGTGGTATCGTGGGAGTTAGGCTTCTCTTGGTTGAATGTCAAAGGACGGATGATGAAATTGAGCTTGAAATTTTTCTCTCTTCCGCTATTAACTTAAATGAAGGTGTAATATAGATTAGTAATATATATTTATAAATGTTAAATCAATTTGTATCACCTCATTTATGAAAGATTGAACTTAAAATTTGATTAACGAAATGTGAACTTAAAAAGAAGGCCTAGGTGTAATATCCTTCAATTCTGCATATATCTTTTTTCCCTTAAGCATAAGGGGATCAAGCCTATAAATAAGAACATGCTATTTATTTATTAAAGTCTAAATAATTATCTGGCTAAATGACGGTGAAGTTACTGTCACATTATTCAATATCTGAAAAGGCATTTACAAAACATCTCAATACATTTCATAAATTGCAGTTTACATTGTAATCAAATAGACGAACCTCTAGTCTATTTGACGGTAATGTTGAAGAAATAAATACAAAAGTTCAAAATTGGTTTCAAATGGTTCTTTCTATTTCCCAATTCTTATCCAGGTGAATTTAAAAAATACTTTCTTTCTTCTCATTAGAAGTGAGAAAAAAAAAAAAATTATTTTTTGCTCTCTTTTACTTTCTTTCTAATCGTTGTTCTGTCTCCCTAGTTTCTCTCTACAATTAAGTCTTTGTTTGCTCTCCATTTATTTTAAAATACATTTTTATCTTTTATTTTCAAACACACGTTCTTCAATCAAATAATATTACATGTAAATCTAAATTTTTTTCTTATTTTAACCACACATTCTCCATCAAAATACTATTCTTAAATGCAATATTTCCTAAAAAAATGAAGGCTCTCGATTAGGCTCTTAATAAGTCACCTTGTGAGATAGTACTTCTAAAATATAGACATCACATTGACATTGTCAACTTAATATGTGTCACCTCACATTGAAATTGTTCACCTCATCGTCCATTGGAGAACAAGCGAATTTTGATTTTCATTTCTTAGAACTTTTTGTTTTAATTATACATTTCATGAAATTCACAATTTTTCGACTATGCGTTTCATTAATTTTTATCAAAATCTACTAAAAAATTGATTTTTCATCAAAATCAAACAGGGGTGAAATTTTATGAATAATATTAGTTTTGGTGTTCTATAATTTTTTTTTTTTAAATACAATTGGCGGCTACATTAGAGCTATTCTTATGCATTCAAAATTGATTGAATAATTTAATGGTGACTCCTTGTCACATAGACCGATTAACATCTAGATTCTAGCTGAATGTCATCACTCAATGAATAAAGATTTAGAAAATTGTAGAATTAAGGTTTCTTTTCCTTGCATTTTTTCTTCAATCGTGCTATGTGTATAGACAATTTTTGCCAAATTAGTTTACAAGGAGACGCATGACATTATTCCATTGGACAATGATAAAAAGAAAAAAATCGAACCA